GGTCCAAGTCATCAAATTAGCCAATCACAACACCTGAACTTGATATTTTGATGGCTAGCTTTGATTTTGTGACACAGGCCAAAGATTGATCTGAAAAAGAATGGAATTTCTGAAGCTTTTTCAATCATATCTTTTAATCAAGGCATTAGCACTTTAAGACAACAACTCTCCTTTTTTCTTTTCATCAATTTTTGACGCCTTTGAATGGAGCTCTCGCACACTTGAGATACAGCTAAGACTTTTTACAAGTAAAACTGCACGAAAATCAGCGATCATTAGAAATGTTAAAATACACTCCAAAAAGCGCAATTTACGTAGCTTGGCTCATGCACACTATAATTTACCATTCCCCCAGGCACTGTTTCCAAGTTAAGGGCAATCTGGTTTGTTCAGCGTTAGAATCACCAGAGGTGTTGTCAGCTAAGTTGATGGTTGTTTACTTTCTGTTTGCAATTGTCAACAACGAATTTGGGCCTCTGAACAAAGCAGTGTTTGATACTATCCACCTTGAAAACATCTGTCTCATGATCGTATCGGAAAGAAACTACTTACCAGTTAAAATTTGCGACTGTTATGTGGTTATGATTTCTGTGTGGCTAAAAATGAAAGTGTCACAAGGTTTGAAAGTGTTCGAAAACAACACAAAGTTTGTGTTCTTGCTTCTGAGAGAGTCGAATGTTTTCATGTGGATAGAAATGACGCGAAAACGCCTGCAAACCGAAAGTAAACAACCGTCTACTTAGCTGACGACACCTCTACTTTAACTCAATAGAACTTAAACACGTGAATAATCTTGCCAACTGTCTTCCTTGAAAATGATTTCATTCATTTTTACGCGTTTATATTCCTCTTGTATGGAACGATTTCCGTTACCCTAGGGGGGGGGGGGGGGAGGAGAATTCTTCATCCACATGGTCCTGTTGTTGAGTGTTGGTTCGTTGGTTACGGCATGGGTTGGTTCGGCATAAGAAATATTAGAAGGAGACCCCAGATCCATAATAAAGTTATTAATTTGACTCAAATTAGATTTACGAACAGACTTATAGTTATACATTTAGATTTTTATTCGTAATGGACCTCTACACTACACAAAAAATCACAAAAAATCTTGGATGAATAAGTAATTGTTTGGGTGAAACAATTTCTGGATTAAAACACTAGGATCAAACTAGCTCAGTTATTTCCTGGCTAGTATATTGTTTAGTAAAAACTCAGTAATTTAACATCTTTGGGTAAAAGGAATTTAGGTAAAGTTCCCATGGATATCACGGATTGGGAGGAGTGTTCTGAAACCGAAACGAATTAAATGGACTTGTCTTCTTAGCAGAATAGTATTTGATTCTATTTTTGTTCACCATAAATGGTTGGCTCCTGGAACAAAGAATTTCCGCCGTACCAATCGACGTTGACGTCTACAAACTGCACCCAGAGGATAAACAACCTTCAGGATGCGTTGAATTCGATTTTCAGATGCGTGTTGTCCTATGGAGAGGAGGGCACCTCGGATTGTCACTGATCCCCAGGTCGGATTTTGTGTGACAATGTTGTGAACTAAAACCCCTAGGTCAGCATGAGATGGATGATGATTAGGCTCGTCTAAACCATTTCTGAGGCGGAACTTGTACATTGAGTTCCGAGAAACATTCATTGCACGTGCTATTTTGGCCCACGGCATGCCAAGACGGCGCAATTGCATAACCAAATCAGGATTCACCTCATCCATGATATGACAGATCTAAAAATGTGAAAACATAAATTAAAAAGAGACACACTTTGGCTCCTGTTTGTTAAACTATTGAAAATCTTTAACCAAAATATTTTATAGCTCAGAAAAATCAAGAATTTTAAAAGAGGAAAGAAAAAATCTATAGGCTGACTAATATGGAGACCAAACCTCTGGAGTCTTAGGGCCGAATTATTAGACAAAATTGTGAACTTTAAAGACTCAAAATATCCTACAAACGTCACTGAACACATTGTTGCATCGTGAGTTCATTCATACTTCAACCAATAATTAGGGTATGGGCCTGGAGAGAAGTATATATTTGAAATAGAAATTAGGAATTCTTAAAAGAAAAAAAGATGTGTAGGATGGAGCTGCCCAATTTGTGGCTTGGAAGTTGACCTTTGTAATCTTTGAATTTCACGTTGGTCAGAGAAGAAACTGAAACTAAGCAGTTATTCATAACCATAGGCATTCAATTTGAAAGAAAAAACTGTGACTAGGTACTCTGAAAATAATAATTCATAACCAAAATAAGTACATAGAGCCACCATTCCACAACAATGATGGGTGAAGAGCCAAAGAATGCTTGAAAAAAGCCCATTCAGATTAGTAAACATGAAAGTTGAGCTTAGGGGAATTAAGATTACTTACCATTAAAGTGTGACAGAAGATTTGCGGTCTCAATATAACATCACGTAAGATACAGGTTTTGACATTCAAGACGTTGCATGATAAGAATGTACGTTGACGTTGTAAGAATAATTTATTTGGTACTTTGACTGTTTTAAACCATCTGCAAGTGTACATCATTTACAAGTTACAATCAGAAATTAAATTGTTTAGATGACATAAAAGGATGCCTTGGATGTCTTCATTATAGCATGTAATGCAGGTAGTCACTAGAATGGCGTATGTTCCATATCAACTAAATAGTGAGAAAATTCATTCAGTACCTATTGACTCTAACTAATATTGGACGCATTTCTATCAAATGGAACTAAGCGCCATCGGGGGAGGAAGGGAGAGGGGCCGAGGGGGGCTTGGATTGGCGGGTATTGCAGAACGCGATGCTCGTTCCATCCTATACACGCAATGCTTTTCCATGGCGCTTAGTTCCGTTTGACAGAACGCGCTATCCGGGATTCTACAATCCTCAAAAGGAACTCAATTTGGCGCTTAGTTCCGTTTAACAGAAATACGTCCTATTGATCAAAGGAATAAAGAGAAATAAAAACATTTTATGAATTTATGTTTAATTTCCCCAGGGATCTTAAATTTTATCAGGTAATTAAAGATAGGAATCTGCTCTGATATGAAGATTTCTTCATACTAACGGGATTTTACTTTTTTGGTATCATCTTGAAAATCAGCAGGCGTAGATTGCTGACAAATCCTTCGGCTAGTCCCTTGAGTAGCAAATTTAATCACTTCAATCATTACGGTTTAATTGAAAAAGAAATTATTTGAATTACTTACGCCTTACCATGGATGAAAATATACTAACGTATGGCTTTACCACGTGAGGTTTCCTGCAAGATTTTTGTTTATGTTATTGTTATGCACAATTTCACTACCATCCATTCGGAAAACATTACGTTCCATGCCGTAATCAACGAACCAACACTCAACAACGGTGACAACAGGACCATTTGGATGAAGAATTCCCCCCCCCCTAGGGTTACGGAAATCGTTCCATACTCTTGTCTAGAAGAGGAAGCAGAAACCATATTAGAAATGATACATCAGAAGAATTGGAGGAAGTTGATTAAAAAATCCACAATCGCATAAAATTTGAACACAGAAAAGGAGGTTTGAATTTTTATTCCTCCATGAAACCTACTGTTAAAGACAAAGTCTGATGGCCATTCTCTTGTTCCAAACATTTTTTCCTGACTTGCAGTTTTCAGCAGGAAAAAATTTACCACCGTTTGTAATCCAAACTCTTTCAAACTCATTATTTCCTAAATTGCGGTTTAATGCGATTTTGTTCTGGTCAGTCTAATTGAAAACAGTTCCTGGGTTTTTTTTTGTTTGTTTACTTGTATTCAGGTTCAGTTCCCTAATGTCTCTCTGTATGTAAACCTGACTGTCAGTGAAGAAGAGAAATGTGTCAGGAGACACAGTTAATCTCAAAAAACATTATGCAGACCATGCAAACTGTATGTTAAGGAGAGTATTTTAGACATTTCTAATGTGCGCATCATTATTTTCATGTGATTTCCCGCATGAGAAGCTCACACAGTTGGCTCTCTCTGTTAGATGCAACAGACCCGTTGTTTGTTATAATTAGAAACTAAATGTGAAGATTTTCATGATCATAATCAGGGCAGTTGTCCATCGTGTCAAACCAAAGAGTGGTTAGACTTCGCTCCCACCTAAGGTATCTTGGTACCAGAACTCTAAGAAGCCTCCACAAACTTATAAGCTCGTACACATCGAGGATGACTTACTTGTAAAAGGAGTTGTGACTGTCAAATTTTACCTGAATGATTTGTATCTTGCAATTGAAAGCATCTGAGCGTATGAGGAGAATGTATCAGCAGGAGTTAGGATTGAAAATTCAGTTTAAATCATGTAACTTTTCTCTTGCATGCTGTTGAATTTTTCACACCACAACTTTTAATAGCAACGTTTAGAGTTGTGGCTTATGATGGGAAAAAGCTTAATATGCTAAACCATATCAAGATTGTACATTAAATTTCTTTTTTTTCATGATTGCAAAGCTTTTCTCATAAGATCTTTTGTTCTGGATTCTCGAAAACATCACACGCTTGTGCTGTTGAACATCTCATCAAAATTGAGAATCAACTTTTTATGAATCATCTTAAGAGATTTCATTGAAGGTAAGATGGATGTTATCAAAGGCTAGTCTTTATTAAGTCAGAGTTGATTTTTTATTTTATTCCTGTGAATTTGTTTCTCAAATGTATTTGTAGTCTCAATTTTCTGAGAGCTAAATACTCTCATATTCATGATTATTTGTTTATTTTTTGATAATTTTTTTTATTAGTGATGTTGTAATATTGTGTAAATTATTGTTAAAATTTTGTATAAAATTTATATTTAAGTTTCATCATTACTTTTGTTTTCTCTTCATTATCCGGCTCTTCATTTGCTCCATTCGAACTTACATTTTTAGATGAAGAAAACCCTCCTCAGTTTTTGTCATCCTGTATAGTCATTTTAACGAAAAGAATAAAGGATTTCAGGAGTGAAGAGATTGCTTGTTCAAAACAGGTGATAGAATCACACTCTCACAAGTAAAAAAAAATCGTTTATTTACAAAAATCAAACTATATTGGAAAACAAATCTCATTTCTTACAGAAACGTAGAAAGTAGTGAATGAATACAATGAGTTCAAAATGATTTTTTTTCACTGTAACCTATGAAATTCGTAAAAAAAAGTATTTGAATGATAATTCCTCAGTTTTTTACGGTTTTCCATTTTAAAAAAGGTACGGCTAAAGTCAAAAGTGGAACAACATGAAGTTTCAAAATTTTCCATTTCATTAGTGTGGTCATCTGTAGGAGAATTACATTTCCTAATAAAGGAAAATAATTTTCAAGCTCTAATCTAAGAATTATCACATACAAATTTTGGGAATGAGAAGTATGTCCCCATTTCACTTGCATCATCATGGTCACTATTTATTCAAAAAGAGCACACCTCCTCGCTGTAGATTTCACCACAAAAGAGAGACTTCATTTATAAATTATTAATCCTGCAAGGAAGAAAGAAACTCATAACCTGAAAAGGACAGTTACAATTTGATGTTTATATTTTGAATTTTCTCTCTTCAAAAAAAAAAAAAAAACGAATCTAGCATTTTATTGCACAAATAAGGAACCCACCGACTTAACTATATTGGCCTGTCATGAGTGTAGGCTGCCATTGAGTACATACATTAAGAAAGCAGAGGTTACTACAAGGATGATTGAAAGAGAACTGTGATGAGAATCGGCAGAATTGCAAAGGTCTCCTCTACAGAAGCACATGAAAACTTTGTTGCGGCTGACCATCGTCTCAGCACAATGCTCCTCATCATCTGAGGGCCCTCGTTGTAGGCACATTCTGTGTGTTGCAGTATCGTACTCTGGAAAAAAATAGTACAATATTGTTTGACTTTGATCACTTTCATCAATTCTTAATTTTGTTGTGTGAAAATGATGAATGAAAAGGGCATCTCAAATTTAAAACTCGCAAGAAAAAAGAACATTGTTGCATGAAACGGAGCTAGCTGTAGATTACTAAAAAAAATTAAGTTGACCGGCGCCGAATGATTGAAGAATATCACTCATGAAGAAGTTTTGTAAAAAATTTGAATTTCAGGGAAAAAATTTTTAAGAAGTTGAAAGATCCCTCTAGTTATAAACCCTAACACCGAGACAAAGAAATATGCATTTCAATTTTCTATGTTTTTACCAAGTATACCCCGATATAAGTATTTAAAATGACAAATATCTCAATTTCCTAAAATATCCCATTAACTGCGTCAATAGTAATTTCCTTCAATTGAGACAAGCCCAAAAAAAATTTTAAATTTACATTCAGTGCAATCCAGACTGACTTTTGGAGAAGATAATTAAAATAGTGATGATAAATCCTAATCATTCCAAATGAATCTCATTTCTAGTAGGTAAAAACAGTACCCTAGTAACACACCTTGTAAAATAACTAAGTACCCAGGAAGTAAGTAAGTAAATGTAAAGCTGGTATTTTTTTACAATTTTGAAAGTTGTTCATTGATAAACTCGTAAAGAAGTTGTATTTAGTTCAAGTTCAAGAATTTTGCAGTAAAAATTTGTAATGAAAGGGGTATGGAGAGGTAATTCATACTATAATGTATGTTTATTGTACTAAATAGGTACTACATAGGCATTTTATTTTTGGTCTACTTTACTACTTTTAAGTACAAGTTTTCTATGATGATTCCTCTAGAAATTTTATGGTATGCGCTGCTAGGGTAACAGGATCCATCTGGTTTGAGAGAAATGTCTTTAATATTTCTTATTCACCAAATATCTATCATCGAGACATCCCAATATCAAAAGCACACTGACCTTCATTTTTAAACGTGCTTGAACTTCCCTCCGTGACTTTCCCACACCAGCCAGAGGCACACGGTATCACTTCTACTCCTTGGCCCTCTTCAATTTGTGAAGCATTTGTAAATTTGAATTTATCTTTGCAGCTACCCAGTTCACCCCGTGACCGACAGGAAAAGCATCTTTTCGAAACTCCTGAGAACAGAAATGGCAAAAAATGAAAATGGTTGCACAGCAAATTACAGACACAGCTGATCCTCCAAAGAGTCCATTAATTTTTTAGATTAATCTTCAGACCAGTAAAGAGAAGGATTATGATGTATTCACTTGAAGAATGAGATTTTATGTCACTTTCGCTCCACTAAACCAATGATTACTTATTGTTAGGTACCTACAAGGAAGGAAATGACATTTTTTGGCAAAATTTATAGCAACTTACTTCCAGCGAAGAATTCTTTCTTCGCTTCTTTTGGCTCAATGTTTTCTACCAACTTTGGAAACTCTGGAGAAAGGGAAAACTCCATAAATTAGGGCCGACTACTTTCTTATCCTTCTGTTCAAGTCTCCAGGAACCATCCAATATGGACGAGAGAAATAGGAATATGGAGACGACTCACCTTGTGTTACACTTGCTAAAGTAATCACAGATATTAAGACGAAATAAATTTTATAACAAAATATTCTATAATACATCATTTAAGATTATTTTAACGAAAATCGATGCAGCATTTTACGGCTGTGAGATTTCTTCTTATCACACATCACACGTTTCGCTTCTCGGTGTTTCATTGTTCTTCATATCCGTGTGCGGCGACCTCTATTGGCCAATTTCGAAAGTGTATCAATTTGGAACCTGTACCGCGAAATTTAAAACTGCTGCTCCGCAATCCGTCTCGTCTCGCACACCACATTTTGACGGTGAAACTGTCGCAACGCTTATTTACGGTCTTTCGGTTCGTTTCCGCTCCCATTTTACGTGGTCTGTCCGGAAAGTATCAGGACTTTTTGATTATCTCGGAATGTAATGCATATAATGAGCTGAAACTTGGGTTGGACTTTGCCAATGTCCATTCCAATGCAGCCACACAATCGGGCTTTCACACCTTTAATCATTCGATTGCAATCAACTGATCAAAGTGTGTGTGTCAAGTGCTATCGTCGCGTTTTTTATTTTTCGTGAAATGACCGAGCGTGAAGATCAGAGAATTTGTATTAAATTTTGCTTTAATCTAGAAAAAACTGCCAAGGAGAACATGGAAATGATTCGGAAAGCTTTTGGCACTGATTCTATGAGCAAGAACAATATTTATGAGTGATATGATCGCTTTAAATCGGGTCGTGAAACAGTCGCTAGTGATCCGCGGTCCGGGAGACCTTCGTCGACGAATTCTCCCGATAATGTGGAAAAAGTTCGGGAAACTATTGCCCAAGACAGTCGGTTAACCATGCGGGAACTGGAAAAGCAGCTAAATATCCCGAAGACCGTCGTTGCGGAAATTTTAACTGAAAAACTCGGGCTCCGTAGAGTGGCAGCGAAATTTGTGCCAACGCTCCGGCTCATTCCTCCTGTCTTGTGCAACAGTTTTTGGGCAAAGCTCGGTATTCCTCTGGTTCCACATCCTCCATACAGTCCAGACATAGCTCCTTGCGACTTCTGGCTGTTCTCAAAGATGAAATCTCCAATGAAAGGGACTCGATTTGACTCCATCAATGACCCAAAAGAGAATACGACGAGAGCGCTGAAGGACATCCCAAAGGAGTGCTTTTTGGACTGTTCTGAACAGCTCAAAAATCGCTGGAACAAGTGCATTGTGTCTTACGGAGAGTACTTCGAAGGAGATTAAAGCCACAATGTCATAGGTAAGCTCGATTTCTCAAAATCTAAAAAGTCCTGATACTTTCCGGACAGACCACGTATCATATGAGTCCCATTAAATACATATCCCATTATTATGTCTATCCCATTTTTTTTTCATCGAATGAGAAAAAACCAGCGCTCATCGCTTGAAATTTCACGAAAATTTCCTCACAGCATGAATAAAAATCAAGGGAGTTTTCAAAAAACGAAGTTGAGTATTTTTCCATGCAGGATCCCTAGTAGCAGAACAAATGTTTGTTTTTCTAAAAAAAGTATAAAAAAAACATATCTGTTGTCTAAATGATCGTTTTATATAAAAAACGTGTAACGCTTATATAAAAAAAAATCAAAGTTCAGACCTGACCGTAATACATGAAAAATGATAAAAGCTAGATACGGTAATTTTTTTTTATACACACATTTTTTATTTTTTTATATAACGCATGCATACGAAAGTGTTAAAAGTGAACATTTTTATGTAACTATTAGATAAAAAAATAGGTCATCATTTTCGTGAGCTTTTCGGGAATTAGAGGAATTTTTAGTATGTTCGCGAAAAGCTCTCGAAAATTATAACTTTTTTTTATATTATGGTTACATGAAAATGTTCACTTTTAACACTTTTATATGCATGCATTATATAAAAAAAATTAACTTTCGTACATAATATGTATCTTTTCCTTCTGTGGTTCTGCTACTAGGGATGACAAGGAATGTTACATTACGACGTTGCATAGGTACCTAAATCCGCTTAGGTAGACACTTGAAGTTTCACCGTCGATTCCTCGCATACGCCTCACGCACCAAATGGATAATTGACAGTGTCGAGATGCGACCAACGCTTTCATAGCGCCTGAGTGAAACCTCTATACGGAGAACGAATTTCTTTATAACGCCTGACTGCAACTATTCGGACTCCACGGATGTCTGTGTTGCATACGCATCGAAGTGAAGGCGTTTTGACTCTCCAGGTACTCTCCGCTTCACATGTGCTGCGCAGGGCTGTAGCCAGGGGGGGCGAGAGGGGGCGTCGCCCCCCCAAGTGAGATTTTTCGCCCCCCCTAGTGATATTGCGGGGTTTAATTAACTTCATTATTTATAGTCCCGGACTTTAGTCAAAAGTTCGGTTATTATTCCTCAATCCTAAAAGAGTTGGTGAATCAAGTTATCAACTTATCAACAAGTTATTTGTGGAGTTGTCTTACAGCCAGGGCGCACACGCTGATCGCAGATAGCTTGTTTTTGAAGATGAGGCGACAGGCGACAGGGCATAGAGAAAAAAAGGAGGTCTTTGCATTGCGGGAATCTTGGAATTTTTTTGATGACGTAGGTCGGCACAGCGAGCAGCGACTTTTATCATCGATTTCCGATTCGGTCCGGATTCGATCCGATTCGAGTCACATATAAGCCTCTGTGAACTCTTAAATGCTCAAGACTTTTTTATGCGCAAAAATCCAAGTCAAGTCAAAGCGACTCTTTCTCACTCCCCTCCTGCATATCTGCCATGTGTAACTCCCCCAGAAGAGATAGTCAGCTTGGGATTTCTAGGGATAGTCGTCAAAAAAATTCAATAACTCTCAGCAAAATACTAATTTTTAGACGTATGCCCTTCACGACTCTTGAAACCCCCTAAATATGTTTTTACTTTTTCCCCCTTTTTTTAAAAATGAGTAGTGATTTGGACACATCATAGCATAATCTGAGCAAACATAACCTTCACATTCCTCAAATATCCGTGCTTGATGGATGTTCATGTTGCATCTGCAAAACTGAAGGCGCGATAACGTGAGACTTGAACTCGAAATGCTCCGCTCTATGCTTTCAATGAGGTATCGTTCAGATTCGGGAAAAGAGTCAAAATCAAGGCCCGATCTCGTCTCTAAAATATTTTGCTGTGTTTCTCACGTAGCTCATGAAGCATCACCACAATAATAAGACAAACAGAACCAATACAACACGGAAATAGAGCAATAGAAAGGACCTGTGGTAAGACGGCGCAAAAATACAACTATTCGTGCTTGATTGATGTCGTCGTTGCATCTGCAAAATTGAAGGCGCGATGGCGTGAGGCGTGAACTCGCAACGCTCTGCCTCATGCTGCTGATGAGGTGCCGTCGCTCAGATTTGGTAGAAAAGTTAAGAAACGAGACCCTATTGCGGCTCTCCTATCTCCGGCTGTAGGGACTCTAGATTTTTTCCTATTTTTTTAAGTTCATGTCTGATTATTCTTTTTTTACGATGTATTTGAGGACCTGTATCTAAAGCTCGTTTTTGCCGACATCATACATATCACGGGTCACATATTTTCAGCAAGCCTCGGATCAATTTGACCTGGCTTGGGTATTTAAGGGTTAAGTGAGTCCTGGTAAATGTAATTGTTCCTTACACGTATCAAATCATTTCCGAGGTCTTAATGGAGATGTTGCATGTGTGGGGGATTTGCGATTTGACCATTGATGCTTGTGTAAAAGTTCGCGAGAAACACGATGGTGCCACTGGTTTTCTCTGAAATCATCTCCCAAGCTCAAAAAAAGCTCTCAAAGTGAGGCCAAAATGGAGGGTATATCCCACCCTATGTTTTCCCTAATGCCTCGCGTCCGAAAACACATTGTTCTTAAATCAATTTTTGCCCCCCCCCCCCCCCCGCGACCTACAGATTTCTCGCCCCCTCATGTTGAAATTCTGCCCCCCCAATCATACCATCCTGGCTACAGCCCTGGTGCTGCGGCCTGCGGCCCGCGAGATTTCGCCCATTGCATCCAGCAAGTATTCCTGTTTTATTTTTGCAAGGCGGGCGGCTCATGCACAAAACTTTTTCCTTTAAAAAAAAAAAAAATAGAAAAAATAAAAAAAAAAAAATGGATTGTAAATTATTAAATATGTATTGTTCATCAACATCCAAGTCGACAGAAGTAAGAAAATTGGGGAAAAAGTTATTTGCAACGTTATAAATGCTGATTGACTTCTAGTTCTAGACTGCAACGAAGAATCTTTAGGTATGCGCTATGCCCCGCACCCCTTCAGCTACTCACCCTTAACCCAACCCAGAGTACCTATATAGACAGAGTATGGCCATTTCTGTTCCGGTTTTTCAGTGGTCGCAAGCGAATAGGCTGACACGATGCAATTAGGACCGTAAATAAACAAACAAAATGGCTGTTATCAGCAAGCAAGATTGAGGTTATGCACATCTTACGTCCTCCTGTGATAAAGGTGAAAGGCGATTTAACAATGTTTTCGTGTTTGCGAGTGTGTGTGTGTCCCTTTGACGAGCCACGGGTTGCCGCATCTGATCAATGAGTGGGAGAGAGATAGACGATAAAACGGCGGCTTGTCAAAGCCGAGTATGCTCCTTTGACGTGCCGCATCTGAGCAATGAGT